CCATATGGTCAGGCAGCTTCGGCTATTTCAGAAATTAGTAGTGGAGAGAAATAATCCGTGTTGTTCAGTACATAAATGCGGCAGGCGTTGCCGTTGTCCTGTATTTCGATTCCCGTCGGAGACGACCACCAAATCAAGCCACACCAGCGTTAAGTTTACACGCGTATTCACACCCCTCGCAGCCACAACAACACCCTAGCTCTTAGCAAGCCACAACAAGGTAATCGAACTGTCATAACAGTTTTATTCGATTGCACTAGAGCTACACTCTGTCAGAGCATAAGCAAATGAAACGGCAGCGATTATCGGTGCGTTTCTGAGATACTCTCACAGATGATCCCAAATGCATTGCACACAGGCGACAACCAACGGGCAACCATTCGATCAGATACCTTTCGGTCCGGTGGCTTAGAACAATGCCAACCCCAAAAACTGCACCTTAAGGGTCATCAAAATGCACATCCAGAAGCGCAGAGTTGGTACCTTGCTGTCTGGATCAAGCTAAGAGTACGTCAGGACCCGGTGCTCTTCTCGTGCCATCCGAGACTCTGCGAAACGATGAGCGTACCCGGTGATTCATACACCGTGGTACCAATGACGCGGAATATGTTGAAGCCAAGGGTGATACATAGGGGTGCAATTTACGTTTGCTAAAAAGGGCTACTCAAAAAATTTGACTGCAGCTTTGCTGGCTTCTTTTAAATTCCAAAACCTGTTACAGCCGGAAGAAGCTAACGGTTGCAGAACACCGGAGAAGAGACGAAGAGACTGAAAGGGCTACTCAAAAATTTGACTGCAGCTTTGCTGGCTTCTTTTAAATTCCAAAACCTGTTACAGCCGGAAGAAGCTAACGGTTGCAGAACACCGGAGAAGAGACGAAGAGACTGAACCTTACCGTGGTGTGGCGGTTTGTGTACCTCGGAGACCCACTGAGCTATACTGGGGGGTGTCCGCGCGACACTCGCAGAGTCTCTCATACCAGATTGGTCAATGGTTAGAGGTCTGACGAACACAGTCTCCTGGCCCTTCAGGTTGGGGGTCGGAACATGTGTGGCGACTTGTTCCGTAGAAAAGGTAATGCATTTGCATTTCCCCGCCAAACACCGCTGCCTT